TGTGTCCCCTAGTTCTACTATTCTCACTGTTAAATATGAAAAAAGATGATGCATCAACACTATCAATTACCTTTACAATTTTAAATACCTCAATCAGAACCCCTCTAACTATTTTTTTTTAAGTAGAAAACAATTTGAGAAATTTCAGCCTCTCCTCATATGACAACCCATCCATCCCAGGCACCATTCTAGTAACCCTTCTCTGAACCCTTTCCAGCCATTCAATGTCTTTTCTAAGGTAAGGAGCCTTAAAACCTCCCTTGAAAAGGGGAGTTACATTAGCTAACTTCCAATCCTCTGGTAGCTGTCCACTATTCAAGGATTGACAAAAAATAGTAGCAAGTGGCTCACATTTCCAATCTTCAACCTCCATCGAAACCCTTGGGGAAATATTTTCTGGCCCAGGAGCCTTATTGTTTTTTAAACTTCACAATTTTTTCTTAACCAGCTCAGAATTAATGTTGTCATCTTGTTTGATCTCATTTCCATTTATCAATTGTTCAAGATGTGGAATACTGCTTAAATCTTCATTAGTAAAAACCGAATAAAAAGCAAAATTTAATAACCCAGCCATCTCATAATTATCAGATACTAGTCTTTCTTTATCATTCCTCAAGGAATTTATGATGTTTTCCTTACTTTTATCTCCTAAACTTTGTGAGCCAACCTGGTTTTTTACTTGCAGCTACCCTTTTATTTCTATAAGTAATATGTTTACCTTGTATATTTAAAAACTCATCTTCAAATATTTTCCATATCTGATCAGTGTCTCCAAATAACTTGGCTGCCAAATTCAGAACAGATAGTTCTTGTCACATCCTTTCAAAATTTGCTTTTTTGAAATTTGTAACCAAAATATCATTATTCTTTATCTCCGTATGTAGCAAAACATCAAACCTAATAGAGCAATGATCACTTGCACCCAGATGTTCTCCAATTTCCACCCTCTCGATCATTTTTATATTTGAAGTTAATAATAAATCTAAAATATCATTATTTCTAGTAGGTTCCTTGACTAATTAGTGAATAAAGCCATCCTGAACAGTTTCCAAAACCCTTTCTCTCTCATGGTTTGACTCTAGCATTTCCCAATTTATATGGCTGAAATTAAAACCACCCATAATTATGACTTCATTAACGGCTGAAATCATAATCTCATTCTAAAGTTTCTCACTAATTTCATCAGTATCATTTGGTGATCTGTAACAAATTCCCACTAGAATCATTTTCCCTTTATATCCACTAACAGTCTCCTTACTGTTATCCTTGATATCCTCAACTTCAACAGGATGTAACTCACATTTTACATATAAAGCCACTCCTCTTTAATGCTCTATCCCTATTAAATAGCCTGTAACCCTGTATTTAAAAGAAATTTC